TCGGCTGATGTAGCTGACACGTAACGAGAGTAAGGCCATAATAACCCAACATTAATTTTGCTACTGAATTTGTGCATGCTAGTTTCTTATTGGTGGGAAGCGGCTTCGACATCGCAGCAGGATGTAACTGATGCGAAGGTTAGTAATTACGTCACAGGGCTGGTGCCAAGCACCAACACGTGGGTAAAGAGTGGCAGTTAATATTATTTGTACCCATTTTAACATTGCAACCAAGCTGCATTTCACCCCACGCACCTCTCACATCCTTCATCCGTCTTCCATCTAGTGTATTTATTGTTAGAGTGAGCACAATTATCACGATGTGGGGTGAAAGTAGAGTACTACTACGAGCATTGCAATGTTTTGCTTCATATGAAGTAGATGAAAGACATTTTCAGTTTTCTACATCATTCACTGCTCATAAATGTCTTGTACACGGGTGTCTGCGTTTGGACCGGCAAGTCACAGCACAGAGATGCAAAAGAATGCGCGAAGTTTGATTACAATCCGTCCTCAGCATATTGTTCAAATAAAGCTCATCGCATGGAGATGGGGCTGAGTCGGTTAGTTTGCATGATATTGTTTTCATTATTTTTTATTCGAGCGAGATGCGATTGCATGGAGAGCGAGGGCGAGAGCGAGATTGTATTGTTTCGTGGAGACGGCTCGGATTGGATGGATCGGTTGCCGTTCCCTTGAATTGGATGGATTGGTTGCCGTTCCAGGTACATTTTTCGAGGCGAGCTGGGAGCAAGAATTGAGATACAAGTCTACAGGATGGTGCGTTCTGGCAAGTGGAAAAACGGGTAGGTGAACCGAAAACATCGAGCGTAGCAGGCGACCGCACACAACTGGCGAACCGCTCTCCGCCCTACCCTCCCTGTCTCCCCCAACTCTTTAGTGAATCGCAAGGTGTAGAAGCGGCACGGTTGTGGCAGCGCTGGACCCCGGGCCTGTCCCATAGCATCTGGGTTGATTCATGCTGGCTATGACCCATTTTGCCGGCATATACATTTTTCATTTGAATGGTGAAATAATTAATGGTCATGTCCTTGCTCGACTCGTTCTTCGCGCAGAATTTGAGCCATCTTCATTTGATACAGTGAAGTTGTCACGTGCATGATATTCAACACGAATCAGCGGTATCTATTGGATAAGATAGAATAGCTGCTGACTACGCTCATGTGTACTAAATATAGCATGCATAGGGTATCAAGGTATGTGTGGGGGCTTGTGTGCACTACAAGTGTCATTGGTGGCTGACGCCACGCCACTTGGCATAACCCAACGGTCGCGAGCGCGGTCCAGACCTCACTGTGACGTCATGCCGGGCCGCTTAGACTGTGCCGTATCACACATGCCGCAGAGCAAACTGTCTTATCACAGGTGCCACGGGGTAGACTGCCGCATCACACGTGCCGCGGAGTAGACTGTACCGCATCACACGTGCGGCGGAGTAGACTGTGCCGCGTGACACGTGCAGCGGAGTAGACTGTGCCGCGTGACACGTGACGCGGGGTACTGTGCCACATCACAAGTTCGTGGCTTATGTGACGCCTGGAATAATTCCGCTCAAACCAAGGCGTCTGGGACATTCGACTCTCCTGGAATCCATGGAGTCGTAGGAGTCGCCCAGCGTTGGACAAAAACGTAGTTTCACAGATGGGCTGCTGTCAGTTATGCAATCCTCTACTTCAACGGGAATTATCACCTCAGCGTCTTGCATTTCCTTTGTTCTATCCACCAGCACAGGAAGTTACAAAGCCATCTCGCTCTCCCTAATTTATTTAGCGCAATTAGTCCCGCTCCTGGCACGGTGCTGTATACATACCTTGTTGATTAATCATCTCTTACCATAACATCATTTCCGTACCACGTGACTAAATCGTAACCGTTGGAAGGCATTCTATAAAGCGAGTCTTATGCTGCCGATTAGATTCAAATGGTCTCATACACAAAACGCAGATTCCAAAAGTAAAGAGCTGAACTTCTACTGGTGCTGGTCGAGCGTATGGGCATTATTGTACAAAGTGTCGTTGGTGAAAGTGATGGAGTAACACGCTGCCAAATACGAGCTTTTGACTTACAACATTTGCCTTTACTTCACTCGCAAATAGAACCGGTACAGGAGCTTTAACCATCCTGTGGGGCAGCTAAGTCTACCAGTTTCTCTCTCTCTCTTTCCTTCCCACTCACAATATCCATCTCACTCTCTCCCTCTCTCTCCCCTCTCACTCTCTCTCTCTCTCTCCCTCTCTCTTCTCTCTCTCTCTCTCTCTCTCCTCTCTCTCCTTCTCTCTTCTCTCTCTCTCTCTCTCTCTCTTCTCCTCTCTCATCTCTCTCTCTCTCTCCCTCTTCCCTCACCCCCTCTCTCTCTCTCTCTCTCTCTCTCTCTC